AGGCCCCTCAAAAATAGCCGAAGGACTACATTATTCCTGGCATATCGCGTAAACAACGACGCAATGTCCAGTATAGTTATGGTTGTTTTATATACAACCTTGGGCGTCCAGAAATCTGGTTCTGGAAATATATGGCGCGTAGTACGAAAGGTCAACCGAGATGCCGTCTGCATTATTATAGCCGTAGCTTCGGTTGGTGAACAGATTCTATTCTCGTGCTCTGCCTTCGTCTTTTCGTTTATTCCCGCGGGATCGAGACCGATAAATATTGAGATAATAAAAACGTTAATTCGGAATTCTTTCACGAAAGAAACGACAACGTCATAAAATTTGCATCGGCAAATTACAGTTTGGCGCAGTTAATAATGCAAATCACAAAACAATTTAAATACCAAAAGATACTTGTTATCTTTAAATTTCAAATGTGAAAAATTTTATACGAAAGATACACAATTATAAATATAAATAACAGAGAAGGAAAGAAAAATAGACACTAGATGCTGAAAAAAGATGCATTAGAATTCATTTGCATATTAAAAAGTATAAAAAAGATTTTCACGAAAACACTAAGATTATTCTTTACTTCAAATCATTTAACATAACATTTATAATTTTAGATAAAGAGCGATAATTTCAGTTTGTAATAAAATTCTATATCGATTTATTGTCGAGAGGGTTATCAGTTGTCATTTTAATAAGTATTTAACTCGATAAATTTGTAAGTAAAATCATTATCTACGAAATTTGATTTAAAAAATGCACTATATTTTGAAACCTAAAACATTCTCTAAGAATGTTCTTTCCTCTTCGAAAGTTATAGGAAGAAATAATGTGTTGAAGGGAGATATTTTCTCCTTTGTTTCTCTCTATGCATTAGCTAATCGAGCAATTGATTTTTCATTCGCAAGAATGAGTAGTTTCATGATACATTATACTCTAAATACTTTCGATAATCTCCATCATATATTAGATTATGGATGCGGAAATTATTATACTAATAAAAACGTATGAAAATACCATTTTTTTATTGACGCGAAACAATAATTTACTACGTCATAATTTTATCAACGATGTAAGTACGAGATGGAGAACGTATGTCAGTCGGGAGAAACATGAATGCAACTTGGTGCATTAAATAATTTGCATTCTCGAAATGTCCCGACCTTCGGTTATTTCTCGATCGACCAGAACCCGGCGAGCAGTTGGTATTTCATCGCGAAAACCGATTACAGATTAGACTGGTTCAACAACCGGTACTGAATACTTGAGCGAAATGCAGCGTATTACATTGTTAGGCGAGATTGTCGACGTTCGCTGGAAATAATTCGGTAAAATCTTGGGTCGAAGATGCGCGCATATATGCAAACATTTGCATAACGTCATTGTTGTTGTCACTTTCCTTTTGTGCAATGCGGCAGAACCGTTTACGTAATACCGATACTCTGCATATACGTATTAATTATATAATTACGATTATAGGAATACCATCGCATCTATTTTGATTGAACAAAACCATTATCCGTATTAAATATTGTTAGATAGACGCATCGACTGAATATTACAATCTTTTAGAATATCCTTGATATCCAGATTTAATAACATCGCTATAATTTGTTATGCGAAGAATCGGGATTTATGTGCAAAAGTTATTAAATAAATAAAATGTAACGTTGCTATTGAGAAAATATTTTTAAAAAATAATTCGAGGATAAAGGAGAGAAATAAAAAAATACGACATGCGCGATATAATGAATTTTTTTATATAATCGAGATTTTATTTTTTATACGAAAAATAACTGCGTTCTTGCGTCACAAAATGTTTTCGTAACGATTTGCTTTTGGACGCAAATCTTCGTGACGCCAAATATTTATAAATCTGGACATTCAAGTGACATGTAGGAATCTTTCTTGGGTCTGTTATATACGAAATTAAGTGTTGCATCTGCATATTTTTGCACAATTAGCAACATCTCGCGCATCGTAAATGAATCTTTCCTTTCTATATGAGAAATTCTTGATTATCTCACACACACACATTATATACATAAATGGATACATTCCAAAGTTTGTTCGCGTCGCATTGAAACATCTGAGTAAGGTCAAAGTTAATTATTCCATGAGAAAGAAAGAGATGTAACAAAAAATTAGTTAATAGTATAGGTCTTCTTGATGAGTCGTAATTTAGAAATAATTTTCCTGAAATAATAATACCAATAATTATGGCAAGACAGTCAGTAAGATTTATTATACAATAATAATAATAATATACAATTAGACACGTATAAACACATAAAACTCGAACCAATTTTATTTTATATATATACATAACTAACATCTCTATCTAGCTCGCAAAATTTTATTAACAATTCGCAGCTCTATTTATCGAATTAAAATTGCAAAAAAAAAAAGAGAAAATGACAAAATATTTTTAAACTGACTTTCACTGAATTATTTCTATAAAATAACATCAGAAATAGGCTCTGCGAGAGGAAGGGGATGGTTCGCGCTACGAAAGCACGGAGCGAACTTCCGGTTATGAAACTCCCAGAAAGCCAGCAGCCACCCGAGTGCTTGATCGATGCACGCGTGTGTGCGTGAGTGCGCTTGGAGAACGCTCTCCCTTGATCCGCTCATCGCGTATTCGCTTTCCAAGGATCCCCAGCGTCGCGTAGAAAGTTATTTGACATTTAAAGGGGTCCGGAGTTTTTTGACCCACCCTGCACATGCTAGCCGCATATACATAGGTCATTGCTTTGCGAGAGGGAAGGTGCACACGTGCGCGAAGAAGAAGAGGAGGAGACAGATCGCGACGTGTCGTGACGATGAACGAAGATGATTATTATCAGCCGTGATTACGAACAGGTGTCTGTGCAATTGCAAAAGGTGTTAATTGTGCATTTCGAAAGCAAGCCGGAATTTGCGCAATTATAGCTATAATTACGTTTATTAAAGTCCAGTGCACCGTATCGATATATTATTATTATTGTCGCACGTGTCGTCTAAAAATGTAAATATAAAGGTGCAAACTTTTCTTCATTTTATACATATCTTCTCTCTTTAAAAGATATAAAATTAATTCAATGTATATATTAGAAATTATATTCGAGAGAAAGAAGAGAAGAATAATTAAGAGTAAAGTATATACAAGAACGTCATGACACGTCAAATTAGGCCTGAAATTAAATGATTGCTGCGCGAAAGTAATTAAGATTGATTAAAAAAAAAATTAAATTAATAAATATATTTATCTGCGTTTTGAAAAGGATTTTCTTATATCAAATAAATATTTTTCACCTCAAATCAGTATTATTAGTTTCAAATAAATGATTTATTATAGGCAGCATTGAAATAAATATTTATTCGAATTCAATAAATTTTTTTCAGTGCAGAAACATCTGCAATTACTCTTAATTTCTCTTATTATCTATGATTGAAAAAAAAAACTCGACAATTTTAGATATCCGGAAGTATAACATCTCGAGTATGTTTTGAGTTTCACTATACGCAATTAAGTGGATCCGTTAGATCATCACTCGTGCTAAATATCTTCCGCGATTTTCGCGGGCCCGGAATTTTTGTCTGTGGCTCATTAAACTTTCAGGGTCCGCGAAGGCGCTAATTGTTCGTATCACGATCGGGTAGCGTTACACATATTTTACAACGTAACGTTAACATAACTCGCGAAACTCGCCACCCGAAACGCGCCGCGAGAAAGTCTCGCGCCGCGTTCTTTCTTCTTGCTTTCTCTTTACACATCCGTTACGTAACGAGGAGTGGTCACTTCTGTGTGCACGTGTGTGTGTGTGTGTGTCATGACACTATCGGTCCGACATCCCGATACGTGTACATATGTCATCGATCTTTATTAATTCAGGCATCTCGGACCGCCCGCGATCGTGGTCGGGTCGAGAGCTGGCAACAAGTGCATCTCGTTCGTGCACTTTACATTTCTGCGGTTGCATAAGCGATTACAAGCGGAGCCGACGTATTCGCGTAACCCCCGAACGTGTTTCATAAACATATATGCGCTGACTTTAATTCACACATCTTATCCGATCTATGTGAATAAACGAGAAATTTTCATTCCCATCAGAGCGATATGCTTACACGTGAAAAAAAAATTTGTAATTTACATTTATAATGTATACGCTCTCTCCAAATCAAACTCTTATACCTCCTAATTTATCGCGATGCGAATGAATTCGCGCTTGTTTGCTGCGATTATAGATAATGTTGAACACAGACAGTGTTGTGCTTAGATTATTTTAAAATTAAATAAAGATGAGATGAAAGATGAGAATATATAAATCTATCTTAGCTAAGATGAAGATAATTTTGTTTTAAATATATCTAATATTACATGGCGATTCATCTAAATAATATTACAATATTTCCAGATAATATTATTTTTAAGACCGTTTATGTAACACAGGTATAAAATATGTAAATTATAAAAGGGATATAAAAATACATTTTTATTTTTATTTCTAAGTTTTTATTGCTTACTGCTTAAGTTCTGCTACTTAATAATAATATTCAAGTATTTTTATTATCTATATAAGGATAAGATGACGCTGAAACTTCATGTACATATGATTATCTATATAATTTTATTTAAATAACAAAGCGAGCACTGAAAACAGAAGCGAAATATTAACTTTGTATTTATATCAGATGTTTCGTATACATAATTATACTCTCTCTTATGAATCTTTTAAAATGTGTATTAATGTCTCATTTTGTGATAGCCGCAGACTTTCTATCATTTACTGAATTTTTATCGACACAATTATTGATGATGCCACACCGACTATCTCATTATTAATTCGTCGGCGACACGCGAGAAATTGAACGCCACCCAAAGTTGGGCGCTCGTTATGAATTAATTATCTGCGAGACTCTCACTTCAGCGAGCACACTTTGGCACAATGTGTATTATATGTACGTCTCTTCGGCGAATGATGAATTATTAATGAGACGCATCGTTTTTTCCGTTGCAGGAGATGCGAGCAGCGTCGCTGATTCTCTGCTTGGGAATTTTACTTGCCACAATACAAAATGGTAAGTCTTCTCTCTTCACAGCTTTCTTAATAAAAATACAATTATAAGAGAGAAAGTTGTAGGATTTAATATTTATATGTGTTTTTTAATTATATATATACGGAAGAGACTCGAGTGTATATCATTCTCTCAACTATCGATGTTTTATTCTATCGTTTCTTGTTCATCTCTTTTCAACATATATAACAATAATTAATATTAACAATATTTTTCTAGTTTTTCAGCACGTTTATAATTTTAAAAAATATTCGCAAATTTTTTTTTAAATCTTTTAAAATATCAATTAATTTAAAATTAAGTAAAAAATAAGGTTCTGTTATCTATTCTTTTGAGTTTAATAACGAGCTTGGATCTTTAATTACTCATAATTTAAAAGTGATTGACGTGCCTTAATTTGATATTCATTTAGTTTCTAATAATACCGGAATTTTGTATAATTATATACGAGTGATAGTAAATTACATTTTGCATCAAATACAAACGCACATAACAAGACTCTTCGTATATATGTGTGTGTGTGCAGAAATGGCATCTTAGAAATAAATTCTTACAGGAAACAATAGAGATAAGATATAGGGTAAAGGTAAACCACAGCTTGCAAAATCGAATCGCATTTATATCCGACAGGTGTTTATTCGCTTCTTGATGTATCTCAGAATTTTCACCTTTCTGCGAAACTCGTAAACAATAATGATTTCCGCGAGAGCGACCGGTGCTGTAACTGATGAGAGTGCGAGAGAATTAGAGTGGAATTCGCGAAGGAGAACGAAAGGACGTTCGTAAGGATCGCTCATGTAAGATGCTAATCTTTCAAACTGTCTCGTAAACGAGCGATGACCTGTCAAGACTTCCAGCTTGCAATATTCAACGGTTTTTAACAATAACACTTTTTCGCATTGCGATACGCGAAGGTATAAAATCACGCCTCGTAATTTTTCTCACATCTAACTGACAAATCCGGAAAAACGCGCGATCACGAACAAGCCTCTTACTCGACATTAACTGTGCGATATTATGTATCTTAATGCTGCTATATGCCGTTTGTATAATGACGATATATAGCGTGGGATTATCACGAGTAGATTCTCGATTGTGCAGTGAAAGAGAATCTTAAGCATTCCTGTATCGGCGATCTTTGAGAGGCTGGTCGAGATGATGGAGTTCATAAATGCGATTTGTTGCACAAACATATTTAGAAATTTCCTTATTAATTTTAATGACACATTTTGCTCAATTTGGATTTATGAATTTGTTGCTATCCATCTAAAATTTTATATATAATCATTGTTCAGTATTATTTAATTTTATATTTGTAATCATTACATTATTTATTATTCATTATTTTAATTTCTTATTTTAATCAATTTTTACGTTTCAAATTTTCTGAAATATCATATAATTATTATTTAGCATTATTTAATTTTATATTTATAATCATTATTCATTATTTAATTTTAATATCTTATTTTAATCAACTTTTACGTTTCAAATCTGTAACTTTATAAGTATATATAAATTGAGTAGAAGAATATAATTTTTAATATTTTTCAATTGTATGCTATTATTAATTTTTTATTTTAAATATATAAATTAAAATATATAATAAATAAATAATAGAAATAGTAAAAAATAATATAGAAAATAGAAATAAATATTTATTCGCACTAGAGAATTGTGTAATAAAATACTAATTAATATTATATAATTATATAATTTCAGTATATATTTTACATAAACGTGCAGATATGGAATTTATTTTTTCATGCCTTCTAAAACTAAAGTTTATAATTAGAACGATTAAATCTTAATATAATTATATATATATTAATATAATTATATATATATTAATTAATGTGCATGTGACATTTATAATCTATTATCTGTAATCTTAAGAATTATACATATCATATGTCATCTTCGATTAAACTCGCACAAATCGCACCGCTTTCAATCGATCGGTCGGGGATATTTTTGTCGACCTCGCCGAGGTCCTGGTCAGGGTCAACAGCGAATCTCAATTTGCAGGCATAGCTCGTATTGTTTTTACACGATGTTCGGCCTCGTTTCATGCACGATCGGTGAAAGCACGGCGGATAAATTCATCGACAACTCGAAAGTGCTCGCGAGTAGCCAAACACACGCGAACTCGGCGAGCCGTCAAAGTCAGCCTTCGAGAACGATTATGCGCGTGCGAAGCAGGGCAACGAGATGCATACTTCTCTCGGTCTGTGTCCTTCTCTCTACTATCTCTATTACATACACAGGTACATTCGGCTAATTAAACGCTTGGACGATCGCGAAGAAACAATATATCACGTAATACTTATCTCTCGCTTTCGCAATCCTATTTTTGATCAGATTACGTGGCGTTATGGTTCGTCGTAACGTTTCGCTGAAGAAAGTTAGATTAATGCAGATCACATCTTCTGTGTTACAATATAATCTGATCTTCTGTGCAATCATGTGTTAACGTTATAAAACAATCTTCCTCTTTACCTTATAAAATTGCAACAAATTGTGAACATTATGTAGAGGATCATTTGGAGAAAATTAGATTTCAAAAAGCAATCTATGCAAATGAACAAAATTGAATATAGTTTTTATTTTTCAGTAAAAAACAAGATCTTACTAGAGATTCATTGATGCAAAAATATTAAAATGTCAAAAGCAATGAGAGATTTAAATAAAATCAATACGAGAAATTTTCTACAAATATTGTATAATATTTTCTACAAATATAATAATCTATGCAAATGAACAAAATTGAATATATTTTTTATTTTTTAGTAAAAAACGAGATCTTACTAGAGATTCATTGATACAAAAAATGTTGAAATGTCAAAAGCAATGAGAAATTAAAATAAAATCAGTATGAGAAATTTTCTACAAATATTGAATATCTCTCTATTTCCGAATAAAATTGCACTTAAAAAAAATGTAACGAGTGTCTGTAATATGGTTTTTTTTAGAGTCGGTAGTAGCACCTTGCCGCGTGAGTTGAAGCCTATATTTCTTCGCGTACAACGTAAACGAAAGTCCAATCGCGTTTCAATTTCTCCCGGTTTTCTCTCGCAAACGTTTAACGCGTGAGTGTGTCATGCGTGCGCGAGGTATGCATAGCTGTATATATACACCGTATTCGATGCATGTCACGCGTATGCATTTTTAATATACGCGTATGCATTCAGCGGCTGCTGTGAAAATGCAACGACACGCGTCTGTCGCGACGCGAGCTAATATTGAAAGATGAAATTGTAGATAACAACCGTGTCGATTCTTCGCGACTTGGAGCGAGCTGAATGCACCGGAATACATTTATCATCGCCGTCTCTTTATTCAACGACTTCTGTTGAAAGTAGAGAAGTTATTATGCGGGAATAACGAATAGAAATAAAACAGTCTTATTTTTTTCTTCTCTGTGTGAGAGTAATTAGAGAGTCGAGCTTTAAATATTTTAAATTATTTTTTTTGTAATTATATTTAAATATAAAAAAATGTAATTATTAAATTATTTTAATATACATATATTTAGTAAAATGATTTTAATGCTATTATTTCACAAGACTAAATAATTTTTGTAAACATTTAGATGTGCAATGTAAAATGTAAAGTTTTAACTTTTTTATATTTATTTGTTCCCTGAATATTATACTGTTCTTTCAGGAATTGCCGAGCGTAAAATTATTTGTTATTACACAAATTGGTCGGTGTACCGACCCGGCACAGCAAAATTCTCTCCTCAAAACATAAATCCGTATCTTTGCACACATCTAATTTATGCATTCGGAGGATTCACAAAAGAGAATGCATTGAAACCATTCGACAAGTATCAAGATATCGAGAAAGGTAACATAAATTAATACATATGATATTTGTATTTATATTATTCGATGATCTACATCACATTAATTCGTAATGCTGACGCGATTGTATCAACGATTATCATTAATTATCAACTTGAAGGGAATTTTTTAAATATCGATGACATTTAAAGCGAAAAAAATTAGACGTCTTAAATTATAGTCAATTGTCATTTAAAATCGTCGATGGCTTTTTATATTTGTAAAATAAGCTTGAGAGCAACACAACTCACTTATGTACATACTGAGAAATTGAAAGAGTAAATGTCAAATACCAGTCGAGTGTTAAAAAATATTATTCTCAGTTGTTGCAAAAGACATTCTTATATATTGAAAAAATGCTATTCATCAGTATCTACCTGTACATGTCTCGATTTGTTTAGCAACGCATTATATTTGATGAATGTGGAACATATCATGTTGGATGACTTAGCCAATGTTTAACTTTCACTCTTTGATTAACATTGGAACTCGCTCGATAGGAGGATACGCGAAGTTTACGGGTCTGAAGACTTACAATAAGAATTTGAAGACGATGCTGGCGATCGGTGGCTGGAATGAGGGCTCCAGCAGATTTTCACCGATGGTGGCCGATCCTGCGAGACGGCGAGAGTTTGTCAAGAACGCCGTCAAGTTCCTCAGGCAAAATCATTTCGACGGCCTCGATCTCGACTGGGAATATCCGACATTCAGAGACGGCGGGAAACCACGAGACAAGGACAATTACGCCAACCTGGTGCAGGTAGATGATGTCTCAACAGTTCCTTATTGTATCGAGGAAAGAATATGAAATCTCTTGCAGGATAATTTAGTGAAGAAAAAAAATTAAAAAGGGGAATGTCAAAAATATTAAATTATATTATAAAATATGTTATATTATATATATATATATATATATATATATATATATATAATATATTATATAAAATATATTATATAAAATATATTATAAATAAAATATATTAATTATATTGTAAAATAAAATCAAATGGATTAATACAAAATAATATAAAAAATTAATGAAAAATAATAAATTGGGTAAATTGACAGGAACTTTACGAGGAATTTGAGCGAGAGTCCTCGAAAACCGGAAGACCGAGGCTGCTGTTATCAATGGCGGTGCCTGCTGGTATCGAGTACATAGATAAGGGTTACGACGTACCTAGACTAAACGAGTACTTGGACTTCATCAATCTACTCTCGTACGATTATCATTCTGCTTATGAGCCCGCTGTCAATCATCATTCGCCATTGTATCCTCTGGAAGAGGACAACGAGTACAATTACGACGCCGAGCTGACTATTGTAAGAGAATTCGTTTGTCAGGATCGTGTATTATTGCTCGAACAAGTCAATTGATAATTGATTGATCGCCTAGGATTACACGATCAATCATCTCCTGGAGAAGGGTGCGTCCGCGGACAAAATCATCCTTGGAATACCAACATACGGTCGCTCGTATACCCTGTTTAACCAGGAGGCGACTGATCTTGGATCACCAGCGGACGGTCCGGGTGTCGAAGGAAAGGCTACTCGAGAAAAGGGCTATCTTGCCTATTACGAAGTAATATGATGTCAAATTTATCAAAGCTTCTTCTCAAATACAAATATATATAGCGTATTAATTCTTTTTATTTTTTTTTAATTATATTAAATTATATTAATGATTATTTAATTATTAAATTAAATTAATGATGATTATTTAAATTATATTAATGAAATAATATAAATATTATTAAAAACATATAAATATACATATTTTATTTATAAAATTACACTCGAAAAATTATGTATTGTGATTATATAGATTTGCGAGAATTTAGCGGAATCCGACGAATGGGAGGTCGTTCAGCCGAATCCCAAAGCCATGGGACCGTACGCGTTCAAAGGAAATCAATGGGTGGGATACGACGACGAAGATGTAGTTAAATTAAAAGCTCGATACGTGAACGAGAAGAAATTGGGAGGCATCATGTTCTGGTCGATAGACAATGACGATTTCCGCGGCAAGTGCCATGGTCGACCTTATCCACTGATCGAAGCTGCCAAGGAAACTTTACTTAGGGATAATAGGTAAGAATTATGGTTCAAGAAAAAAACACGTTAACTTATAATTGTTAGAAGTAATAATTAGAGATGTCGCATGAATTTTATTAATTTATTTTTACTGTATTACTATTTATATTTAATTTATCAGTACTTTAACATAAGAGATCAAATTAGTAGATACTATAAATATTTGTGAGCATAAAATGTAGATTTAAAAAAATGCAATTCAAGATATTTTATTTCTGGAACGTTGAGTAAATATTTTTATCTTTATCCTAATTTATAATTCTAATTTTTCTATCAAATTAGAGAAATGAGATTGTTATTATCGTAGCAGAAATATCGAAAATACGAAGTCGGTGGACAATCGGAAAAAGACTCGCACTCAAGGTGTTCAAAGCAACGCTCGTAAGTTTGGTACAAATAGCCAAAGAAGTAGCACCACGTCGGCTCCGATCACCAATAGACGTGTATCCTCTTCAAGGCCAAAGAACCGTAACATCTCGAAATCGAAAACGAGTGTTGATGAGGATGATCGGGAGGTGTCAAGGAGATCGTACGATCCCTCATCGGACATCGAGGACGCAGAAGGTAGAAACACCGTCAGAGTTACAGAGAAGACCGAACGACCGAAGAATCGAAACAGAAGCAAAACTCGAAACAGCTCCACTGATCATAACTCTCGTAGAAAACAGTCTAGACGCAAAGACCAAAGCAAGACTGACAAGGACGAGGGATCCCTGAGCAACAAGTTGACGACTCCTGAACCGCCGACTACTCCCGATCCAGGATCCGGTAAGTTTTTGTGAAAGTAATATATTTTTTATGGAGTGAATCGATTATTCGAGAGCACAAGATGCGAAAAAATCTTTTGTTATATAAAATTAAACATTGTGTTTATATTTTTTATAGACTTTAAATGCGAGGACGAAGGCTTCTTCCCGCATCCTCGAGACTGCAAGAAATATTTTTGGTGTCTCGACAGTGGTCCCAGTGGACTTGGCGTGGTTGCGCATCAGTTTACCTGTCCCTCAGGTAATTTTATTTTTTATAATATATATATCTTATATAATATAAAATATAATATATTTTTATATAAATTTATTTATTAATATATTTTAAATAAATAATTATGTCCATTTCCAATCTTAAAAACATTGAATTTTCGCAGGTTTGGTGTTCAACAAGGCGGCGGACTCTTGCGATTACCCTCGCAATGTGATTTGTCCTAAGACGTCAAAGACATCAGTCGTCTCGACTACCAGATCTCCCATCACAGCTGCAACCAGTCGAACGACTTATTTGCACAGCACGACGACTGCAAAGGCCGAAGAGCCGGAAGAGTACGATTCGGAGGAAGATTACGAGGACGAGGACGAGGACGAGGAACCTGAAGAAGAGGATGTGAGAGAAGAACCGAAGACCACTACGACGACGAAACCTCTCGTATATAAGACACTTACTAGAAATCGACCCAGCACGACAACAACTACTACAACGACAACCGCACCAAGCGAACCAGAGAGAGAAATTGGCGGCGAAGACGAGGAGGAAGATCCGAGGGTGATCAAGGAACTGATTGATCTCATCAAAAAAGCTGGCAAGTATAGGTTTACTTAAATATGTAACATAAATAATCTAATCATTTTTCTATTTATATAAATTATTTTTTATAATATTAAAACTGTCTTTTCTCTTATTAATATTTTTTTATAATATATATTTATATTGTTTATCACATCAATTTTTTTTTTTAGATAAAATCTCTCTCTTATAAATAATTTTTCTAACTCATATGACAGGCGGAATAGAACAGCTGGAGAAACAATTACTACTTCAAGAGAAAAATTCCGACAGTAGATCGGACAGTGAAAGTGTCACTCCGGCTGCGATTAGTCGTAGTTTATACGAGCGAGTGTTGAATCGCCAGACGAACAGATTCGGTAACGGTCAACGACCCGTATTATCACCCTCGGAAAATAGTTACGTGAACGGGCCGGGAAGAGCGCAGTTCGAAGGCTTGGACGACATTCCCGAAGTGAAGAGTCTCAGACGATCGCAGAAGCCTCAATATGTCACTATCGAGAGACCCAAGTCAGTACTTTACTCGTTAACAAAAACTAGACATCTCATTTTTATGTATCAATTTTATTCGTCAAGATCGATTAGATTTCTATTTAATTTATTCTTCCGTCTAATTCTAATTTAAAAATATATTATTTATTAAATCAAGATTAAAATTAATGTTATTGAAACTGATTTAATACATTATAAAATATTTATTTAATATATACTCTAATTTTTTGATAAATAAATTTATATTGATGTTAGATCATCAGCTACGAAGGAATCGGAGAACGAAGAGATTGACGAGAACGAGGAAGATGATGACAACACCGACGTAGCTTCTTCCGAGGAGGAAAGTATCAGCAATCCGTTAGAAGAAAAGAGTGCCACGCAAAGAGTGACGCCAAATTACGTGAACATTCGTCGAACACGACCCTCTACTACGACATCTAAGTATAATTGACAATAGTATGATTGACAAAATAATTAATTTTACTCCCGATCGTCTTTTATGTTATCTTAAAATTTTCAGAATCGAAAATGACGTGGAAGAGAAGGAAGCGGAAGTCGAGAAGGAAAAACCGACTCGCAGGCGACGACCCTACATCTCGAAGTAATTTTTTTTATCGAGATAAAAAGCGCGTTTTATATTATTATTATATTATATTATATTATATTATATATTATATGGATTTAATGTCATATATAACAATATTTTTTAGACAACAGAATAATGAAGCAAGTTTTGACACGACGAAATCTTCTCGAAATCAAGGCTCAGATTTCAGGTAATCAACAAATTATTCGTTGTATAATATACACAATAAAATATAATTACATAATAAATATATATGGACTTAGTATAACACGTATATATTGATATATTTTCACATAAAATATTTATCTCTTATAACTAACTTTTAGGAATTCAGAGAAGAAAGGCGTGGATTTATCAACGACGGAGAGAAACGACGGTTCGCCAACGATCGATTCTAGGTTCCTATACACGAAATTTCTTTTCATTATCCATATTTACCTATCGCTATATAATTCACATTATTCCCGAAATCTTTTAGATATAGCAACGTACAAAGGTTTAGAGGCACCACTTTGAAACCCTTGGAAAATCTATCCAGCCTATCTTCGTACGAGATAACGACTTCGCCAACAAAGCTCGAAGAGGACTCAGAAGTACAACCTAGAAGTACAACTAGTACGACTACCACGTCATCGACGACACCCACGACGACCACCACTTCGACCTCCACCGAAATCTTCACCGTGATCAGCCTCGAACCGTCAAAGACTTCATCCAGTGTCAGCCCTAAAGTCGACAACACCGATTCCACCCCAGAGGCTGCGAAACTGGTGGAAGATTCCGTGACGGAAATCTTGTTCACGACTCTGCCGGCGACCACGTCGTCAACAACGACGACAAGAACGACGATAGGTCACTCGAGTAGGTCGACCATCGCCACGGTTTCGCAGCCGCGACCATTCGGCTTCTCCAGACGAAGATTTAGCACTTCGGAGGCGACGACGACGACGACGACAAGCGCTCCTCCATCGAGTAGATCCAAGGTGAGTATAGCTTCGCGAAATTCCACGCGTCCGTCCAGTCCGTTTCTGGGGCGAGTTCGATCAAGGACCAAATCGGTCGACCGAATTGTCGAGGACGAACCCGTGGAGGCCTCCACGTCGAGGAGCAAAGAACCGAGCAGATCGCGTGGTAGAGGATCCAGCAGGTACACTCCGCCGACCTCGAGAGTGAGAACCGAAGACGGTTCCACGAATTTCGTTCCAAATCCCAGGTATAGAGAAAGAGGCAGAACGACGACTTCGACGACCAGCAGTCCGATCAGCATCGGTGATACCAAGAGAAAACTTCGGAGACCCAGCAGAGTCAGCACGGAATCCACGAAAACCAATGAATTGGATGACAGTCCGATTGTGAAGATCACGCAGAGTAGAAGAAGAAACACGTCGCTTCGGTCGCGAACTGAGAGCAACGATGAGGAAAATGACAAGATAACGAACATCAAAGTCTTTAAAAGACCGACTGTTAATCGTGAGTTGTACGACAGGACGAAGCAGACGAAGAAGAGAAATAATGTGCAAGAACCAGTGCAAAATACGAATATTGAGTCTTATCAGAAGAGTGACAAATCGGAAAGTGACAAAAATGACTCGACGAACATCGTCGATCAAGAAGTAACTTTAGTTGATTCTCTCGTTGAATCCAACACCATCGAGCCAATCTATTTCAACCGCGCGAAATCGATTGAATTGACTGACATTACGACTCCCTCCAACAACAAGGTCGATTATACGAGTAATCGACCTGATGACAGCATCGCCACGACGACTGCTCATATCGAGGCTCACGAGTTTAATCCCAAGTTGGTAATAATCGTCACCGAACACGCGGAAAGTACGACGGAAGCACCGAAAAGAAGGAAAGTCATTCTGAGAAAAAGACCAACATCATCGAGCAGTGCTGTCGATACTGTCGAAATAGAAGAAGAAGAAAGATCTGATGCAGTTCGCAGACAAAAAGTGATAAAGCGAAAACGTCCACTTCAAGACACTTCGTCAACCGAAGTTTCTCTCGAAGAAGAAGACTCGAGTCTGCTTCCAGAATCGATGACTTCGATAGCAGACAAGGACGTTGAAAAATCGACGATCGTTACTGATCGGACAGAAATTACTTCGATAAATGCTGAAGAATTGCCGGTTGTTATAGGATTTACGAGGAAAATGCAAGACTCCACTCTACCTGTTACAGAATCCACCGATTATAATTTCGATGATTTCACGAAGATTATTTTGGAGACTCTCGCGGCGAAAACCACAACAATCTCGAACGAAGAAACTACAGATTCTATATCGACGATCGACGCATATGCCGATGAAGAATACCCATCGACGAGAGAAATGAATGTTGAAGCAACTACGATGGAATCAACTTTGGCGACAGCTACGCAGGATAATACTGAAAGCGGAGTGTTTTTGGAAGAAACGTTGCTGCCAGGATCTAAAAAGTTGTCTACGCAAATAACCACGTCAGGACTATTCACGACGGAATCGAATTCGCCTTTGAGGTCGAATTTAGAGGCGAGATACGCGCGTAAAAAGTTTATTCGCAAGAATCCTGCAGCTTCGGGAATAAATAGCACGTCTGGTCGATATCCTCTCGTGTCATCGTCAACGGAGAGCATCAGCCATGAAATTCTTTCCAGACGCAGAAATCATTTATTCACTCGACGTCATCCGATTTCTTCTACCACCACTAATATATTGCGCGATGATCTCCAAAATCAGGAGGAAAAGAAGGACGCGAATAACAGATCGCGCGATTTGATCGGACAGGAAGTTGCGGAAGACACGACCCTGAAGAACAATTCTGCGAACGCTCTTTCGGATGATTTCGCGAAATTCTGGAAAAGTTACACCACGGTTTCGTCGAGCGACCAGACAAGCAATTCTTCAAGTATCGAGGATATCGATGATATCAATAAAGAACCGGAAGACGCTACTACATATCAATCTCCGATTACCACAAGTAAGTCGGAGATTCGACCGCGCTATAAGATTCCTGTAATCCTGAAGAGGCCTTTCGATCCCGAAGAGGCTTTATCGCCCAAACGGTACCAGCCATTAGACTCCGCACCGGAAGAATCCGAAGAGACGCCGGAAACCAAAGAAGCCAAGCTGAAGCAATCCTATCTCCGGCAGCCGCGAACTCGTTACAAGCTGCAAAATCGTGACAACGTCAATAAAATCAACGAGGAAACAACAACGTCGAGTCCGGAACCCACGAGCACCTGGCAATATGTCAGGACTCGTTTGTACTCGAAACGTCCAACGTCGACCAGCACGGAAGCATCGGTTACAGAAACCCTGATACCAGCAAAGAAGTTCGATTACGTCGCCGACGCTCTTCACCGGAAGCAGCAATCGCTTAAGACGACGACGCCGAGAAGCAACGATCCCTTCGACTCGCAGAACCTGGTTGACCTGGATCACAGGACGGCGAAGCCGGTGACCCGGTTGGTGACCTCGGTGACGGAATCCGGCACCACGGAACGACAGAAGATCCTCATCAAGACGAAATATTCGTCGCTCACGTCAACCACGAGGATCCCGGCGGATCAGTTTTCTCCGTCATTGGTGACGAAATTCGATGACGAAGCTATCAACGAGATACGTCAGGGTATCGAACATTCTACTCTACCGATCGAGGGTGAATTTAATAGTCATCGCTACGATGGTCGATTCACCACGGAGTCCCAAGAGCCTTCGACCATCGAGATCGAGTCGGTGTTCAATAATTTGATCGCCGACAAGAATTCCGTGAAATAATAGGAGTTTACTAATTATTATACTAATCACTGTTAGGGGTCGACAATGTATATAGAAGCCAATTAAATTAATTAAGAGACCATCCGTCGCAATCACCGATTTTACTCGGCGAGAACGACAGAGATTGAATAGACTTTCGCTAGTAGGAACTAATGTATATAGTTTACTTTACGAGCATTAATCATGTTTAAGATTGCTCTATGAGAGATGAACACATTAAACAAATCTGCCATTATGATTGGAAGAATAATCGCTAGCTCGATGACTGATGACCGAATAATCTTCACGCATCACATCTTCTAATCAATAATAAAGATAATAAAGAGAATCATAACGAGCATCTAATCCGCTTATGTCTCTTAGAGGAACCTCGACTAAATCTTCTGATAACTCTGATAATGATGTACCGATACTTACCGCAAGTACAATCATCGCTAAATGCTATCGATGACCCAGGATGACTTATCTTATCATCTGAATTAACGCAGCAAGTGAGACACATTAATAGATAACCAGAGAGTTTCCTTCTTCATGTTCCTTAAATTCTATTCTCCTTCAAAGCTGGCGCAGTTTCACACAAAAAAACAGAAACACAGAGAAGAAGAAGGAGATTACAAAAAAAACATTGAAAAAACCGAAAGAACTCCCTGAGAGGGAACTTCGCATTAAAGTGCGCTGCCTTGTTCTGATTTTTTTCAGGTTGCCGATTCGAAAACTAGATTGCCGACCCTGAAGGAACTGATTGGTTATCCGACGACTTACTACGACGATCGTATTTCTACGACACCGTCGTCCACATTTTTCTTGCGTAATGACGTAGACAACGACATTAGTCAGCAAAACGTCGAAGAAACGTTCGTTCAAGGAACAAACGAAGATGAAGAAAGGGAGCAATCGATAAGAGACATAATCGGAGAGGAAACCGGCGACTCCTGGCTGCGACAAGCTTCGAAAGACAAAGCGAGATCTCGCACTTTAAACAGAATGGATGAGGAACCAATTTTGGTCACAAACGCTATTCAGGAAGAGGCTAAAAAGACATCTTCGACCTTGATGTATATGAAACCGACAACGATGCGCGGAATTCCTCTTGACAGTTTGACTTCCAGCCCACGTGGTTTTTACATCACCAGAAGCGATGATTTATCATCGTCGACATTTGCGGGTGACTTTACGTCATCTTACACGACGATTGGCAGTTCTGTTGAACGACAGACGGAGACTGATTTAATTTCCACGACTGACGAGACAGTCGCTTATATTAATCAGAACGATATTGAAACCGACGAAATTGTCACTGTAACTCGAAACTATCAGAAGGAGTTAGAACTCGCTATTTTCAATAATGTAAATGATATTATTAAAAGTAAAGATGTTGATAATCGCGAAGAGAAATCTTCTACATTCAATTCTTTGGAAAATTCTGACAGTACCGAGAATCCTTTGATTTATAAAGAGCCCGACACGGTTACAATTCCTGTCAGTAGACCCACATCTAAAAGAGAAAAATTGTTACGTAATTTCAATCATAATACGACACCTTCTTCTAACGTTTACGCCTTTTCGCCGACAAGGTCGACAGGACGAAGATTCATTCTCGGCGTGGTCAGACAACCACATTATAACGAGGCTAACATTCCATTGTGGACAGGTAAACGTATAGTAGCCAGAAAACGAAATAGGACTGTTTCGAAGGAAGTTGAGAGACGAATCGACGAGGACGTTTCTTATACCACGATGAATATTTTTGAAAATGCTTCGACACTGACTTTGGCGAAGCCTAAACTCACTCCGATTTCGACGACACCGACAATTCCATCAATCGTGTCCAAATCTACGTCTTCTAAAATTTTAGATGTTAATAGCTATTCAATTGGAAATGAAGAAGGAGCGATCACTTTGATAAACTCGATAATTGCGGCGACTCCTTCAGTCTTCAAAATCTCTTCAGTAACAAGTGATCTTACGACTACGATTATTTCAACGATCTCCGACAATTTTACAAGCGTAACTGAGATACCTTCGACCGCAAACGAAGCTATAATTACAACCACACCATCATCGACTGACGCAGTTGTGAAGGCTCCCATGATTGCGAACGATCAAGCCACAATCGCGATTGAATTTGCGATTAAAAGCGCTGGAATTGAATTTCCAGTTTCCACGACTGCAAATTATTCTACAGATGACGTTCCAACAACCGCGAGCACGCACGCAATCGCAAATGATTCTGTAATTATACCCGTGACTACGAGTATCGGCGTCGAAATCACCTCCCCAAATGCAAATCACTCGACTGATTTTGCAAATATGGTTGTACCCGCAACTGCGAGCGCTGAAGTTCAAATTACTTCGCCAATTACAAATTATTCCGTAACCATGCCGACAAATACAAACGCAATTCCAACCGATTCTGCACCTGTAATTACAATTAGCGCAGGAAACAACATTATTTCAACAGATTCCGTAGTCGCAATTGATTCTACAATAACTATGTCCGCAGCTACAAGTACCGAAGTTGAAACTTCTACGATTACAAATAATCCTTTACTCGTTATTCCAGCAACTACGATTCCTTCTACTAATACTTCATCATCGACAATTATTTCTTCTACGCATGCGACTATTTCTGCGACAACGAGCAATCTCTTAGATACTGTAACTGTAAGAAATATGCTAACTACAATTACAACACCTGCAGCTGTTATTCTTCCGACGATTAATGACTCTAATGTAATTACGTCTGCATATGTAAACGGTTCTTCTAATTTCGCGATTACTGACACTTTGACAACTTTGAATCAACCTAGAAGTAGTTCCGTAATTTCGTCCAAAGATTTCGTTACATCTACAAGGTCAACTGTGCCTACAACTTTAATCGAATCTACCACGACACATTTCAATTCGAGTGATTTTAATATTAGCGATAATTCCAAAGTATCCGTCACAACTGCAAAGTCTATCCAAACTACCGAAATTCCCACGACATTCGAAACTTCACCAATATTCACTTCGACTGTCATTTCGAGATCTCTTCCTAGTACAAATTCCGCGATATCCTCCCAAATGAGACCAATAATTACGCAAACTCCTTCGACTCTTTTTTCAATCGTAACATCGATTAATGATAATACAGCGACTGTAGAAAAATCGACTAACGATGAATCGATCGCGATGAGCATAAGTCAAACCACGGACATTTATGAACCGAGTTCCGTGCAAACGACGAGTGAAAAGTCTACGACTTCAAGAAGGAAGGTAATTTTCAAGGAAGGCGCTTCAAGAGCTATAAATCGGAAACAAGATCAGGCTTTGAAAGTCGATGATCAAATCAATCAAAAAACCTCGAGACATCGCGTTGTAAATCGGAAGAATAATTGGCTCGGAAGACCTGTAGTGCATCAAACAATCAATCGTAATCCTCTGCATCGAGTTACGCTGCATCGCGGAGAACCACGAAGACCTCCTGGTTTTACTTCGAGGGTGGTTGAGCAGAATCACAGAAGAAGAATCACGCAGAAGAGGACGAGAGTTAATTTTCAACCGATTGACACCACCATCAGACCTGAGGATGTTGTTCAGAATTCTACTGAGGCTCATAATCGAGGGAGAAGTGTACGAAGAAGAATTGTATCGAAGAGAATCAGGGAAAAAGTTGAAAAGGAGACCACTACTTTAGAAGCGATGCCATTACTTTCTCAATCTACTGAGAACGAAACGCTTCATCGAAACTTTAAAGAAGCAAGAGCAGATCCTGACTTTGTTGACACAACTTTTCAAGGCAATTTTTCGATAAATTTTTATGTCAATAGGAATTTTTCCAACAAAGAAAAAAAAGCAAGAAGAATGAGAGTTTTACTGAAGAGTATCCGGCCTAAATCCGAGGAAAATAATTCCACGACTGAGAAAATAAGTACAGATATTATCGAAGGAAATATTCAAAATAATATTTCGACTAATCTTACAACCAGCACGAGTAAAAATCTTGCTGACGAAAGAAAAACAAAAAGAAGAATGAGAATTGTTAGAAAGAAAATTAGACCTAAATTCGAGGAGGAAGAAGCAAAGACCGAAAAAACCAATACAGATTCTGATTCTACAGATGAAAGTCTTCGAGGCGCATTTTCAAATAATTTTAGAAGAGGTAAAAATTTTCCCGGTGATTATAAACCGAGAAGAAGGCTGAGAGTTGTATTGAAGAGTATCAAACCTAAATCCGAGGAAGGGAACTCAACAACTAAAGGGACGAGTAATGTAAATCTTTTCGACGAAGAGGAGACAAGAAAAAGTCAATTTGCGTCCGAAGAAAAAGACTCGGTAGCTGAAGAAACAATTGCACATTCTGACTTTACCGATAAAGTTTTTTCAAGTAATCTTCACGTAGATGATAAACTTCCTGATCGAGAAAAAATGATGGAAGACACCGAGAAACCGCAAACCACGGAGACTTTCGTTCTGGTCAAGGAGGACACTGATCAGCCCTCGCTCGAGGTCAGTGCAGTTTTATGTTGAAGACTCGCTTTACCTTGAATAACATACTGTAGTTCTTTGGCCGATCGCATGTTGCTTTAACTAAAGCGAAAACGAAACCAGAACCGCCTTTTCTTCGCTAACCGAAAGATATAGAAACTCGCAAATAGTAGAAAGACGATCATCGCCTTAATGTCATTGCTTGAACAAAATCGCCTGACTGAAGATGCCTTTTAAACAATGTAATCTCCTCTTCTGAATCTGCTTCCGGTGCCTAATTGATATACCACAACGATATCATGATCGACTAATGGAAGGAATCGGTTATAACTATTCATAACTTAATGGCTTTCTTGAATGACTACCTGACAAGATCTCTCGATCATCGATCACTCGCTGGATCTAACCAAAATACTTTTCGTGAAACGAGAAATTATATATGATCATCCTTTGCTGCTACGTCATCATCGCATTGCCTATCTACGAAGAGATGCTCTTCTTTCTCTGGTTATTAGAATTCTTCCTTCGGGGTGGAATCCGGATACGAATTTCGAAACCTGGTCTTTTACTCTGAAATGCAAATAGATTAGGAATATCTTCATCAGTGCTGCTAGTTCTTATAAATTAACTTTCTTTTAAAAAAGCGAACATTTACATTTCGCTTCTTCTGATATTATCTTTTAACGCTTGGATCAATTATTAATATGTTTTAACACGCGAAATGTTTCAAACAACACAACAATCCAAAAGAATTTCAAAAACGAAAAGATGTTTGAAAGATTCGGAAACTCATTAGACGCTTTAAATAATAATTAAAAAATTAGAAAGTCTTTTATATGTCTAAAAAACTGAAAAATATGCTCGAAAGTTAAAAACGAAGTATAAAAAATGCATAAGAATTATATAAATATAAGACATAATTTTAAAAAATATATATTTTACTAAATTTTTTAAAAACATTTAGACGGATAAATATTTGAATTACTTGTGTTGTCTGAGATATCAATTTCGAGATTCTCTTAATTCTCTTTATCTTAATTTTTATCTTAAAAACTTGCTTTGTCCGAAATTGCAAACACATATCACAGGTGTATGCATTCATAAGCGATTCATATAATCAAAAATTAATATTTATTTCTGTCGCGCTTTGTCTCATTTGTAGTATATAAGTATATCAATTATTACTCCAACAGGTAAATTCCTTAAGGAACGGTGGATCCATCGGTCGTACAACAGGATACTCTACTAGATACAGAAAACCGACACAGTCGACGACGAATGTCCCATTAATCAACACCTTTCCAAGCACAGTGGCCATTTATCGAAAGGGTAGACCAATCGAGACCACCTTCTCATCCAGAATAGATCTCATCGGTAGGTTCACGAAAAAATAGCATAATTTATTTTATTCTTTTTTTATCTTTTTATTTTTTATCTTATTTTATTCTTTTATCTTTTAAGCTTAGATTTTTTAAAAAATTTCTTTCAATTCCTTTTTTAGACGCGTACGAGAATTCCGGATCGACCGCCATCCAGAATGATCAAAAGGCGGAGGTGTCCGATCAAAGCATCCGCGCCCAAGAATTTGCGGTGACTTTAACGAACCCGCCATTATCATCGTCGGACACTGGTACATTATACTTGCTAGAGAATGCGTCATCCGACTACTTACTTCTTCTAATTTAAAATACCACATATCATTATATAATATTATACGAGCCTTATTCTCTTTTGGCGGACTTATAGCTATGCGTTTTTCAACTAACAACACTCGATTCATCTCAACACAGCCTTCTTCTATCGGGTCTTACTTCTGATAACTGTCTCTGTTTAACGACGATCCCGATAATCTCCCGAAAATCGCCGACTTCTCAACTTATGTATAAAAATTCGTCTTTTTCAAATATGAAGTCTTCGCAATAACGTCATTATGTCGATCGAGACTAATTCATTAATCGCTTCAAGCATCTGTCTTTTCATTGTGTTTTTTCTTCAATTATATACCGCGATTTATGCGCGGATCTCTCTCTCTCTCTCTTTCTGATTTGTCATTGATCAACGTTTTCTTACTAATTTAATCGTGCAACTTTTATGTACCATTATTCTTATTTTTTTCATCTCATCTCGCTCTTTTTCCTCCCGTCTCTTAAGGCCACGTTCCTCATTTGCTTTGCCAAGCGAATTAATCACTAATCATTGAATTTATGCCATTGACAGAACGAACAATAAATCCTTTGGCATAAATCCTTCGGCCTATTTCGAGAGACTCCGAATGATTGATCGATTCGAAAATAACTGTTTCGTTCATTCTAAATCAACAGATTTGACAGCACAACCTTGACTTTCCTATTACAAGGTTGTCGAGACATTCTCGTTCCTTCGTCCTTCGGCTTCCGCAACCGCTGACTCTCTCATTATTCAGATCGATTTACATCTCACTAATGAATCTCACTCTTTCCACTTCGTCTCATTCTGGGAAAATCCAAGTCGCTTGTCCCTGGTAAACTTACGTCTAAGCGACAAAGATTAATCAGCTTCCACGCAATTAGGTCGAACGCTGTTAAGGGACGCCGCAAGGCGCAAGATAAGCACCACCGTAGCACCTAGAACAGATCCGGCGATCGACAGGACGGTGATCTCGAGGCCGAGATTCGACGATGACTCCAGGAACCGTCAGAGACCGAAGACGAAAAATGCGCCCATCGTGAATTCTACCACGAGACCCAGAAGACCGCCGGTGCTCGACTACGATTATTACGAGGACGAGACGCCAATCGTCATCGGCAAGCCTGTTCTCAATAGCAAGCTCTTCCTCACGAGTAAGGGTACCATACGTTGCCTGGACCAGGGAAACTTTCCCCATCCGTACTCGTGTAAGAAGTTCATCACTTGCGCCCGTATGGTGAACGGCCAGGTCATCGGCACCGAATACACCTGTCCAGATAGGCTGACCTTCGATCCGATCGGAGGAATCTGCAACTGGTCCGCTGGACTTGGTTGCAAGGTCTGAAGATCGAAGCTTAGCTTTTCATTCACTCGACAGTCCGACATCAAAGTTATCTCAAACTTGGTTGCAAAAAATAGATCATTTTGCAAAATTAAACTTGAATTCTTTTAATCGTATCTTTCTTATCTGGATAGCATTTCGAGAACGCATAATCATTTTTGTATTTACGCCATTATACAGCGCTTTTATACAGTGAAAATTATTTTTGAATATATTTTAAACAGATGTATTTCTTTAATTAATTTTTCTATCATTTATGAGAGAAAAAGATCGCTGAGATGATGTAATGACTGTCGAGTGGTTCCAATTTATCAATTGCACACTTTTTTAATACGGAAGACAGACATTTTCAGACAGTAAAAAGATAAATTTCTTGGATTAAAATTAAGAGCGATTAAGAGAAGAGAATGTTGCTAATTTTACAAAATAAATTTATGTAAATTTTATTTTGATTCATTTTTTCTCGAAAGTTCGAAAAATTATTATTTTAGATTTTTAAACTTTACTGTCATCAGAGTATGATAAATGAGAGCATATTCTATAAAAATTACGAAATGATATTATGATTATATTATTATAAGACACAAGCGTGAAATAACTGGATTATTCGGGAAGAATTGAATCGGTTTCATTAAAAAGGTAACATAATTAGTTTTTTTCTTCATCAAAGAGGAATTCACCAAAGATAATTTTTTCTAAATATATCGTGACTAGTATTTTACTCCAATTTAATACAATGCAACACATATCAAATAAATCTGATATTAATACAGATTTGTTCTCATATATAAAAAAATAAGTTCTTTATTATTAAAAAATTTAAATTCTGTTGTCTTTTCGAGGAAACTGATTCATTTACAGTCATGCTACGAAGAAGGCTATTTTCAGGTGTGATTATTCTAATAAAATGAAATGTATCGTATGCTTTTTATACGATCGTGCAATAGCCATATATAATCGAGCGAAAACGCAGAGCGGTGATATTATCATTAAAGTCTCTTTATGTAAATATTAATAGAATTACGTATAAGAGAATAGCATGTAAGATAACGTTCTTCTTCGCGTAGCGTTCAAGCGCTAATTTATCTGTAAATTTTCATGCGCGATTGTTAAACACTCTTTATCTTATCTCGTGAAAGCAATACGTCGACGAATAAAAAAATTCTACTCGATTTATTCATTGACGATATCGAATCTGTGCGAATCGAAGACTTTTGTATTTGAAATAATTTTGTACTTGAATAAAAAAAAGCATCGTTTAACCACCCACACGCATTCGTTGTACATGTTTCTAAAATTAAAATATGGTTTATTAATATATTAATATAGTCTCTCTCTCCTATATAAATAGGTATTTCCTAAATAAGCTGAATTTCATTTTAACTTATCAACATAAATTCTTCAATAAAAGAAAAAGTTTTTCTAACATAAAATGTTTCATCAGAGATAAAAAAAAATAACAAATTCTGATGCATTTTTTTTCAAAGATTTCTTTATTTTCCCCGATATTCTTGTCTCACAATGTTATTTGTTATTAATCTAGTTTAGGAAGATGAGATGGGTAAAACAAGTATACAATAATAGCTGATAAATGTAATGCAACGCGAGGCGGCCGTGTTTTTAGTAAGGCTTCCATTTTTGAATTGTCGCAATTTTACAAATACTGTAAAATAATAATAATAATAATAATAATAATAATTATATTACGCGTGTATATAAATGATAATGTGTATTCGTCTATTTGACAATTGTTCAGTAACAAAGCGTTCGAGAAGAATACTTTGTTGATCTGTCGAATATTCGAGCTTCATCTTCGAAATTCTTTTGCGAATATCGCGGTAGATTCGTATGTTTCAAGATATACGCTTCTTCTTTTGATTTGCGTATATTTCTTCTTGTTCAGTGTACATGTACATGTGAGAAGGTGCGTGTGCGTGTTTCGTCGTTTATCGTTATTTAGTGTATATACTGTTCCAGCAGTCGGCGTTCTGCTTTGGCTTTCTCGCATATTATTCGTCTCTGTGTGTGCCTAATATATGATATATCTCAAAAAAAAAAAAAGAAAAAAAAGAAAAAGGAATGAGAAATTATGTAAATGGAAAAAAAATTAAAAAAAAATAGAGACATCGAGAAGCACGTATTAAAGCGTAACAAGCGAAAAAAAAAACGAAAAAAGCTTACGATATACTTTTGCCGATAAAAATAATTGCATTTCCACACGCGAGCATTTTTATCGAGAGAATGACTTTCACGATGGTTCGAACAACAATAATAATATATATGTATATATAATGATCAGATGACTTTGACGTCGCTTTTGATATATAGATAAGGCTATTTAAAATGTGATACGAGAAATGGCAGCTGTGGTTCAGAGAGATTTACATGGTGGATTCTATATATTACAATTAACGCCCCTTTTATCGCTCCTCGTGCGATTATTATTTATAAAATAAATACTTTGAGAAAAAAAGTATTTCGTTAACTACCGTAAAATCAATACACATATCGGAGCGATATAATAATAAATAATAATTAAAATCAAATAAATAAATAAATTTGCTTCGTTCAGCATATTCGTTTCTCGCGTATCTTTAGTTATCTTATACGATTTACACAAAGTGTAATAAAGCGAGACGCGGCTCAAGCTCTTGCAAGGATTCGTAATGCCGCGTTCATTAAAAAAATATGAACATTATTCGATTTCGAGCGTACATTTTTTTTGGGATACTTGGCGAGAAGGTCGATTTATGTCGTTAAGGCTCGCAAAGTTCGTTATTATTACTCTTACGAGTTTTAATGTCTCGTCGTTCTCTTCGTATATTTTGTGCGAACATTGATCTATGGCGTGAATCGAATGTCAACGCTTCATTAATATGTGCATCCGCGATAGGCGACGTAGAATTTGACCATTTTTATCGATAAATACGATACGATACAATACGATTGTAATAAAGATATATAATGGATCCTGTCGTCAGATAAATCCAATTCAAAAACATTAAATTCGTGTTACACTACAATGGCAAAATCGCAAGTCTAAAAATATATATATATATATTTATATATATCTTCCACTATATAATTATACAAAAAAATGTAGAATATAGAATTTTCGAATAAATATATTCCGATACACATAGAGGAAATAGTACTAGTAGTATTACTAGTAATAATAATAATTTGGAGAGCCTCTAGTATCAATGCACTCACATTGCTGCACATATATAAATATGTGAGCTTTCCCTTTCGCCATGTCTCAAGCTTCAACAGCTTGATATTCAATTCCTTTTCGGGACGTTCGCAAAGAGAGGAATCATACAAAATCTTACCTATCAATTGGCACTTGCTTTCCCGAAAGAGAAAAAAAAAGAACAAAATTCATGTTGTGTCATTTCAGTATAGTTCAGTATAGGCTACATAAAAGAATAGAAGAATAAATATGTAGCAAAATGTTTAGAAGAGTATATCAATTTCGAACTTCGTGTTATCAGTTTACGTATTAGAGAGTTTCTATCCTTTTAACGAAAGGTATCCAAATATACCATATTCATTATTGTCGCAATAAGACTTATGTAAGTACGTAATCTCTTTTTTTTCCTACGTATATTTGATATGTAATTTTTATGCGTGTGCGAAAGATATTTTGCTGGAAAAGTTAATATTTACTTTTCTCCGTACGACACACTTAGATCCCTTTGCGTTAAAACGACATCGCTTATTCTTTCTTAGCCCCCCGATATTTCAACAGCCTCTAATATGTATATGCGCGCGTATACGTACACAGTTATTAATATTTAGCGTATAATGACTGATATCGCGTATGTATTGTACTGCGAGCTCCCTGTATTGAGCTTCACTTTCGTAAAACGCCACATGAAAAATACGTTGATGCGTTAGAATACTAAAACAATAGAAGAAATCTTTAGGCATTCTTCAGCCTGTCGGCTGACGTGTACACTCGATCCTTTTTTTTCATTTTTGATATCATTATCGTTTATCTACAGATCAGATTCGCCGTATAAGGCCGTCGAGAAGGAGCGATAATCGAGTGCTCCAGGAACGGCGCTCGGTCCTTTGTACGGAGGCATTCGCTGGATGCAATATTCCGCCTGATCCGGCGGCAATTCCCTCCTCAGTTCGTCCGGCAAAATGTAAGGCTAAAAGACAAAAGAAGCTGCGTTAATCGACACGCTCTCTTACATTATTATACTACGATTGTTCGAATATTCTCTTACCTTGTCGCCAGCAAGAATGCGGAAGCTGTCGATGACTTGCTCCGCCGTGTCGGTGTCGGTGGACTCGCGCGTCATGAAATCGAGGAAGGCGTCGAAGTGAACGTAGCCCGAATTGTTGGGGTCAACGATGGCCAGAATACGTTGGAAGTCGATGTCACCCTGCCTGTCCTTTCCGATGGAGTATCCCAGAGACACGAGGCAGGATTTAAATTCGTCCGGTGCCAATCTACCTGTCCTATTCTTGTCGAAGTGATTGAAACTGCTGCGGAATTCATTCAGTTGTTCCTGAGTGATGCCCTAAAATAAGAAGAAATTACGTTAGCTCTCATTCTTGAAAATCTTCTACAATAATATGTGCGATTTAAAGAAATCTAATTTAGAAATACCTTCGAATCTCTGGTGAGAATTTGATTCTCAACCTCGTTAATGTTACGATTGATCGAGGTCAAAAGCTGTTCCCAACCGACACGCAGCGTCTCCATGGTGTACTGAGTATAACGATTTTCGAAGATCATGCCCTCCTGAACTGCTTGGTGGATTTTCTCTAATTCCTCAAGATGGGCCTTGTATTGATACACTGCCTGTTCGTATTCTTTCAGACGATGTAATTGATCCTCCAGAGTTCCCTAAAATACAGTCACGATATTAAAAAACCTAAATGTAATAAACTAAGTAAATCTTTATTTGCGTAATACAGATGACATTTATTACCTGAAGACCGAGGCCAATCGCAGTCACGGCATCCAGTTGACGTTCTATCCATGGTCCGACCACATTGGCTTTCTCGGCAAATTGTCGTCTAAGTAATTCATTATCTAATTTCACATTTCAGGAAAATAATTGACAGAAAATATTTTTTAGAATGTACATTTGTCATCGTGTTGAAGTGTGTTATTGAAGTTTATAATAGAAATTTCAGCATAAAATACGCCGATATTAATAAATCCCAATTTTTAAAGAGAACACACATAATAAATTAATGAATACTAATATCGTAAAGAAAGGATACTTTGTTGTTTGCGAAGTTCAGCGGCTAGAGTACCATCGCGTTGAGGAACTAATTGTCTAACGTCGCTCCATTTCTTGGTAAGATCCTGTAAAACAAATAATATATGAATTAATTCCGGATCAATCTTTATTTTATATGTATGAATAATTTAATCCTTCAATATACCAATGCAGTAAGAGCGGTGTAAGGATTTTCTAGGCCGCCAGGGATCTGATATTGCTTAACTATGGATTCAACTTCGCGCACTAATCCCACAATCGAGTTGTATTCCTTGTCCGCTTCGCCGAGGGTGGCCTTGAACGCGGCGTGCGCGTCCATTAAGCCTTGGATCTCTTCCATCGTGTGGACGATAAACATGTCCACTAGATCTTCTCTGGTTCCATCCAACCAATTATTAAACGGCTGCGAACCAGACATCAAATGTCAGACATTACGTCACACATAATAAAGAACAGACAACATAATCTGCAAGTGTAATCAAATTATACTCACAGCAGCGCGTTTGGCAAACTCCAAATGCAAGACGTCTATCTTCTCTAGGATTTTCTCCGCTTCATCGAGAGCTTGACGCCTACGTTGAGTGAGCGTACCCAACCGATCCCATTGATCGCAAATACGTTGGCACCTGGCGTTCACGGACGCGCTGTCGTGATACTCGAGAGTGCTATAATGATGCGGAATGTAAAATGTTACAATTATCAAAATACATCAAAAACATAAATAAAAAAAATGTTGAAATTACTTGAGCTCTTGAGCTATAGCTGCGATTTGCTCCACGCGATCTTGATGCGCCGCGAGGTCCGACTCGAAGGCCTCGTGCTTCTTCTTCAGAGCCTTGAGCTCGTTCAATTTGCACTGCCGGAAGTGTTGAGACGTGAGCATCTCCTCTTTACCGGCGGTCCAGTCTTCGTGAGCGTCTGCCTTGTGCTTGAATTTCTGCGCCAGATGTTCCAGTCGCTCCAGACGCATCATCTCGGACAACAACCAATCTTCAAACGTTTTCTCGGCTAACTCCAGGCCTAAAGGATTATATCCGATATGTCATTCCATTCAGAGTGTGTACACGGAATTTTTCGTTATATTTTACTACAAAATTTACTACAAATTTTATCATGCTTGATAATAACTCGAAAATTGCCTGCATGTTAAAATTATCATAAACGAGTAAGCTGAATTGAAAATATTCTGCTGCATTATAAAATTTATACAAAGTATTTTAATGTTTATTGCATTTTTGGCATCTATTTTACTTAAAATATTTAAAGAATCATGAGTTTTTAATATATTTTTAAATTATTAAAATTTTAATAAAATTAATCATATTTTATATATACTTCTTGTGGTAGATATTAATATTTATTGTGTAAATATTCATCAGAGAAACTCTTATAAAATTCTTTTATACTATACTAATACTATTATCATGAATTTCATGACAAGTTCTAAGGGAACAATTCTTTCTGTACGCAGACACGTATACGAAAAGATGTTGGAAAAAAATCGCACCTCTCCACGCTTTATTTATGTCGGACACCATTTTCCCTTCCGTAGGCATGTACGCTGGTCTATTGCTCAATCTCAGTTTCGTCTGCAAAGTATTGAAATTCGTTTCCAGTTTAGCTTTCTGTTCGACGCGCGGCGGCTTGTGCTTGCGTCGATACGTTCTGTACTCCTCCAATTTCTTCTGACAGCCGGCCAGGGAATTGTCGGTCTGCCGATTCGCGAGCCACGGCATCGTTCGTCGTATCCATTCCAGCAGATCGGAAGCCAAGCGCTCATATTCTTCCATAAGACGTTCGTTCTCTTGATTTACCTTCAGTACTTTGCAGATTCTGTTAGCCGCCGTCTCTGCCTATAAGTAAGAAAATTCGTATATGATCTTCTCTTGTAAAGAAAACTTTTTGACTTACATCTATGTGCGCGTTTTGAAGTGTAGAGAATTTATTATTTTCATCAAGAACAAGATTGCATGCATTCGTGATCGATATCTAGTTGCAATCTAGTATAGATACGAAATTGATAAATTAAAAAGTTTGATGTTTGCGCAGTTTAACATTCGCGGATTCATGATATTTTTTATGCACACTCAACGCGTCTGTTACAGGTTAATTCGAAATGCAAAAAACACACCTTTTGAGCACCGCTAAAACAGTGGTAGTATGACGAAACATAGGTCATCACGGCCCTCTCATCAGGCATTGCTGTATTTCGCATATCTAGAAAAACACATTCGAAGAAACTCAAACCATGCGTTGTTAGCGGTTTTGCCGTTAAAAATTGATTAATTTCAACAATAGACGAATCCAGTGAGAAATGAAACAATTAGTACATAATTTTTCGCAACAATTCTCGATATATCCATATTTCATACGTGATAAAAATATATGTGTGTGTGCAACACTGAAAAAAATAATACAAAATTTTATTTTATAGTCATAATCTTTCAATTAAAAATGTTATACGTGACAGAGTGCGTAATTTTGGTTTCAGGCCTGAGAGGCGAAAAATAATTAAATTAAACCAGTAGTAAAAAGTAACTCGATTAGCAGATTCAAACGCCGTTAATGATATAAGCAAAACAATTCATTTAATTACAGTTCGTATTAATGAGTCGCTTTTAACAACAACGGAGGTGGTGGGAGGCAGGGAGTAAAGAGCAACACGCATTTCTTTACGCTGACCTGCTGGGCACCTTGGAACGCGTGGTAGTAGCAGGACACATACGTCATAATAGCTCGCTCATCCGGCTTGGGAGTGTTGATCAAATCTATATGATATCAAGGGAACATATAAACATTAAGCGTTCGACACACGTCCAGTTTGATACTCAAAGAATCCGTAGCTCCGTTCTGTATCCCTAAATCGCGACAATCTCTTCGGCGATCCTGTCAATTAATTCGAATGACGCGTGTATCTTTTATATATTCCGAAAATAAAAAAAATATATATATATATCGCAAATATCTAAATAGTGTAACCCTTTTGGTTTATATTTACCATCGGGATCTAACATGCGAGGAATGTCGAGGTACTTTTCAGCGACATCAAAGGCAGTGTTTAGGTTCTCCAGCGGATTATCCTTGCTGAGTTTGTTGTAATCGATCAAGTCGGGTCGATGACGATGGATGAGGGCGCAGAACGCGAGGCCGTCCTTGAAGGACAGGTGGAAGTTTTGAACGTTGACGTTCTTGTACGGAGCCGTCTTGCGCTGGCACCAGAGCAACAGACCCTCTTTCGCGGTCATTTCTTCCACGGAGATATCTTGGATCGCGAATCTCAGGATAATGGTCCATATCATTCCCAGAGTCATTTTCAAGTTGCCGTCAACAATTTCTGTTTCAAAAAAGAAAATTGTCAATACTTTTTTAAAAACATGTATAACATGTGTGCAGTATAAATCAATTTTACATTGTGTTTATTTCTTACATTTTACATTATTCTATATTTAAAAAATGTAAAAGTGGAATATGCAATTTTATCGAAGTTAAAAGTCTCTTCATTTGATAATCATCAATTAAGTATATTATTAGTAACAGAGAGAGAGAGAAAGAAAAAAAATTATTAAAATACGAATTACTTACTTTGTATAAATGAATACTCTTTTTATTTAAAATATACGTATCAAAATAACTATATGATCGTTTGGAGCACAATTTAATATCTTGAAATAACGTATGAGCTTCAAAAATAAAGTAATGTACCTTCTGCGCCAATTGAAACCAGCTTGACGCCCTTGCTGGCGATATAATCGAGGGCCTTGTTCACATTGGCGATCTTGTGGAACCTCATTTTGCCTCTGTCGGGTCTCGGAAGGGTCTCGCCTGAGATCACCTCAAGCAGCAACATCAGTTTCAACCCATTCCTGAAATCGTCTTCGATCGATTCGATGGCAGTGCCTGCTTTGCGTAGATGCGAATTGCACCAAGCTGTGAATGTCTGTGATGCAACAAAAATTTATTAATCCAAATTGTGTTTAACTTCCTGTCGATAATAATTGAGTAATCAAGAGACAACGAGTAAGTAACACATATAGAAATGATCATAATTACGAGATGATAAAAAAAAAGAAACAAAAAATTTGTTCAAAATAAATTTACTTAATGTTTGTCCTACGATATTTTTGCACTAATCACGAATAAATAATCATTTAAAATAGAGGATTGAGTTTCTTTGCTATACTGCTTAGTGTATATTTTAGTAGCCGACCCCGATCCCTCTCGCTATATATATCTGCTGTCCTGGTTCTTAAACCACGTTTTCTATCGTTCTCTGCAATGATTTTCGAATCATTTTTTGATATCTTTGCAAAAAAATATGCTCTTGTGAAATTTTTTTTTACATACGCATAATAACTTTTTTATTCTTTTAAATATTTAGTGATTATTACATTCAATAAACACTTGCCAGAAAAAACTTGCATAAACTTTCAAGAAATAATTATTAATTTATACATTAAATTAAAATAATTTCATATAATAATAAATCAATTTTATAAGCCATTAACTTTCAAGATTCTTGACTTTTTTTTTTTTTTTGAGAAAAATAACGATAATTTTCGCTAAAGATTAGCGACGTAAACTGCAATTTATATTGCAACCGAATCGGAGAGTCTGTCGATTCCGCATTTCTAAAAGTTTCGAAAGGAGATAAATCGTGGAGAGCCAATTCGCGAGATATTTATCTGTGAATGTCGTTGAATAAAACGCGGCATTTAATCGCGATCGACAAAAAATTCGGGACCGACGCTGAAATTTTCGGGTTGGAAAAATATTGCGTGAAATTCAATACGGGCGGCGTGAAGCACGACGGGCCAATTTTGGACATGAGCCACCCTAACATCTCTCTGCACGAGCTCTAAGATCTATTTGTAAAACATTGACTCCTCCCGCGCCGAGCATTAAAGATCATTTTCGAAGAGACACATTTCGGAAGTGTTCACTCGTTACTTAAAAATTAAACATTTCTTACTCTTCGTGTTACGTCATTCATCCGTAATCGAGTTACTCAATGAGAAAAACGCGCGAGCAAATGTCTATATTTACGCAAAAGTGTGTTCAAGTCGAACATTGGTGCCGAGAATAGAGAGGAATTATTTATTTTAATTAATATATTAAACATATAATATAATTATAATATTTTATATATTTTTCAATGCGTTACTGTAAATAAAAAGAATTTTTCAGAATCTTTTTCAGTGCAGTTATGAAAAAAATTGCAATTTTGTGTCTCGTGTATAGTAAAAAAAAAAAAAAATATATATATATATATATATATCGTCATATGACATTTGAGGAATCTGTAATTTGATACGTCGTCTGACAATTTTACGCGTGTGCAACAAATGATGTGCTGCATCGATAGAAATATAGCTACGCGCAGCTTATAGTTAAAAGGCGTTCTCCATGTCACGGATGAAAGAATGCGATAGCCCCGATGTATTTGCTGATAATACATTATTTTTATATCCGTCCGTTTGTGCGAGACTATGTATGAATATGTAATGCGATCGAGAAGATTTGCATTCGTTTTCCGGCCTACGCCGACGAGCAGGCTCAGTCGTTTTTTTTTTTTTTTTTCGAAAACAATTTATGTGATATAAATATAACATTTTTTTCAATTTACACTATGTAATTTATGCGCGAATTTCTGATCGAGTAAATGACTTCCACGTTCGACCAATCGTATCGTCTAGAAAAAAAGTGATCTCTCCGCAAATAGATAGCTATTCTTATTTGAGAGTCGACATTTTATTGTTTTCTTTATAAACATTGAATTCTGTAAAGTAACCGAAGGAAAACAAGTTAATCTATTCGTTTATCTGTTTTTGATATACTGATATATTGATTTGTTATCATCATGTTAGATAGGCTGGGAAAATAATTATCCATTTAAATTAATTTATAGCGATGCTTCAAATATTATATTAATATGTGATATATATATATATATATATATATATATATATAAGATTTTTTATCTCTTTCTCTTTTCTTTCTCTGCTTCTGCATCTATTATTTTATCATCAAATGATTTTGTGTATCGTATTATACTAAAGCTTTAGCTAGATCAAATATATCATTATAATTTGTTTATCCATGAGTCATCGTCGTACTTTTATAAATTGATATGACAAGGCACATATGCCAAACTACATCAAAGCTAATGTAAGCACTACCATTATTTACGATGTATTTCGGTACGCAATAATTCAAGCATTATTGATCTTAAAATTAAGTAACAGATATAAGTAATTAGATATTACTATAATTAAATAAATACATTTTTATTCAATTAGGTTAATTAAAAATTTGATATATGTCTCTTCATCATATATTTTATATGATTTATATATGTATACAAAAATATATTTTTAAACCGTATAAATATAATAATTATAAAATTACATGAATTTTCATAATATAAAACTCTAAATATATTTTTTGTGGAATTCGTGGATAAAAAAAATTCTCTACATATTTTATATCAACGTATGTTATGACTTTTTCATTTTCTAATGCTTACTTAGCACGATTTCGTCATTCATACTCATACGCGGTTAAGCGGTCTATCGACTGCTATAAATAAATACAGTTATACAAACAAAGCAGCCTAAATCCTATACGCATAATTCATGTAATCCAAGTTTCGAAATTCCGCAGTTATGCGCGCTAATCTATTTCTATTCCGAAAGTTTGGCAGTAGTTTTCGTTCGTCTGTGCAGTGCTTCCTATCACCCTTATCATATTGTTTCGTGTCTTATCAGAATGTATGCACGCATATGCAGCGTAACCTTCAATAAGGTGTGACGTTGTTCAAGGTGAAAACGTCATTTATATGCCTCAAGATTTGCGGAATCTTTGCCCTAGATTCCTATATCATTGCTTGTTTTCTATCTTCTGCAATCTGAGAATGCATGTCTCTATTACGTTGCATTTAAACTTGGCAACGAAAGAGTTTAATTGCAAATTATTCTGAATTAAATCCTTCGCACAGAAACGTCAACGTGTTTCTTTGACGGTAAAATAACTTTTTTTTAAAGTCGTTAATTTATATTCAAATGAATTTTATATAAATTAGATTTGCACAAATAAATATTATATATATTTAAATTTTAAAAAAGATTTTTCTGTTTTCCTTTCTCTCAAATTGATAATTTATTCCTTTTCACAATATATAATTTTTTAGTCATTTATTACTAATAAGACAGATATTGGAATTTAATTACATTATAATTTAATATTAAGAGACAAGAATTTGTTCATAAGATATAAAAATATTTTAAAAAGCTACTTTTTAAATTTACTTTTTGTATATATGATTTTTTTCAAAATATATCCAATATCTATATATCTTATCAATTAATAATCGTTCAATAAATTTTCATCTAAATCTCCAGAGCACTATTTTCGAGGAATCATTAATTACTTCAGTTTCATCGATAGTGGTTGATAGTATTCGGTACATCTCGACGAGAAGCGAAAATATCAAATGCAACAAGTAACTTGAATCACGGGATAAGTTACGTGGACCGGAAATGAGATCTGTAATTACGATGACCTTTCGAATGGGGCCAATACCTAGTCGAAAATAGTTAATCGTGGGTGTGTAGCAGGATATCTGAGTGATGAATCCACGTTTGGCGCACGCAGCTGCGTGTATAGTCGAGGAACTATGCTTGCCCAAGAAAAATAATCGTGTTTTCCGCGCTATTAACCCACAATATTATTCGCGTTGCTTTATTTTCATATAAGAATGTATTTTCTTTTGCTTATATTTTTATCATCTTCGTCTTCTTCGATATTCTCATAGTCTTGATAATATGTTTTGCTTGTATATATACGTACATTTTTTTTTAATAATAAATGCAATAATTTATATTCAAAAGAAAAAACAATATTATTATGATATAAAATATTGATAGATTCTAATAAAATTCGTTCGCGTGAAATTTTTTGAAAAGTGTAAAACATGTGTCGAAATTTAATTATTTAATTGTTGAATTAAATATGTAAAAAACTGGTAATATTTCGCGTTCAATTTTCTCATTCAATTGTGAATTGAAATTCAAGCTTTATTTGTGAATATCTTCACCCTTTCATTCATGACATTTGTCACATGGCCATTCATCAGTAATAAACGATTCACAATTACACATGCTACTTCGAGAAACTAGAACTTTAGAAATTTCTCACAGAAACTTCTAAGCGTACAATAAATTGAAAGACAAAAGCAAAAGAGACACATACAAGTATTATAAAATAAAAAAATTTGATAAATATATAAATATAAAAAATCAAACTGTCATAAAAAATCGAACTGTCACGTATAATCGGAGCATTTGAAATTCGTCTAGTTTGAATATACATTTTATTTCTAATCATGATTGAGAAATATCGAGGAAAAACTGTACAATTTATCCTTTAATTCTGCTATCTCTACTATGTGTATGCTGTAAGATTTATTTCCCTCTTCTATAATAATATTATGTCATTTATATTGATATTATAGCATTATATCTCTTATTGTTGGCACATGTTATTTCTATATTTATTACTTCATGACTTCACCCACTCTCACCTAACTCATATCATCGAATAACAATGCTCTTAGTCAAAATATGGCATGCGTGGAACATCCCGTTCCAACTTGAGATTTGGCATGCAGCCGGGAACCCTCCTAAGGTTAACGATCCCCCTGCGGAAAGAAATCGATCAAACGCGGAACTGTCATCCTCGCCGACTCAGCTTTCACTTATCCGCGATTATAAACGCGAATTACGCGGGATTCCTCTTTCTCTCTCTTTCTCTTTCCCTCACGAAGGCGCCAGACGACGGTCCGCGATCTGCCAAATTGGCACGACACATGTCTGTCAAATTCAAGTACGCGAAAAGGAAGAGCAACACGTAGCTCAGCACACCGTAAAGTCGTAAATCAGC